CGGAGCTTGCAGTGAGCTGAGATCCGGCCACTGCACTCCAGCCTGGGCGACAGAGCGAGACTCCGTCTCAAAAAAAAAAAAAAAAAAGATTCAAAGTTTTGGTTGGGCATAGTGGCTTATGCCTGTAAGCCAAACACTTTGGGAGGCTGAGGTGGGAAAATCACATGAGCTTAGGAGTTCGAGACCAGCCTGGGCAACACAGTGAGACTTCGTCTCTTCTAAAAATAAGAAAATTAGCCAGGCATGGTGGTGCATGCCTGTAGTCCCAGTTACTCGGGAGGCTGAGTCAGGAGGATCACTTGACAACAGGAGTTCAAGGCTGCAGTGAGCGACGATCGTGCCACTGCACTCCAGCCTGGGTAACGGAGCAAGACTTTCTCAAAAAAAAAAAAAAAGATTGAAAGTAAAGCCAAAATCTTACATGATCAAAACTTAGTATTCAAAAAATACTAAATCTTCTACCAAAACATTAAATTCTAATTCTTTTGTGGGTCAATGTTTTTCTAAGACTTAATTTTCTCCTCCAAGATACAGAGAAGCCATCACACCATCTGCCCGAACTATGTACTTCTTACTTCTCACATCAATGGAAGCAATATCCTGAAAAATCAATCACATTCTCCCATTGGTTTTGCCAGACGGTATTCATTAAGAGGTGATATATCTACTGCCTAGGTACACTCTAACTAAGTGAAATGGTGAGCTTAAATTGTACCCTTGAGTTAATGCAGATTAAATATACCTTGGTAACTTGCCACAATGCCAAATTAATATAAGGTATAATTGGCATACAATAAAACGCACATATTGAAAATGCACAATTTTCATAAATTTTGGTGTATACAGAAATTTAACTTCTGAAAATCCTAATCCCCTTCTTTTGCCAAAAAGTTAAATAGGACTTTTATTTGAGAAAAGTACTTACCTTCATGTAATTCACAATCTTAGCAAGAACGCCAAACTTATATCCAGAGCTTCCTGACAGAGCTTTCAAGTTAAATGATCCATTGCTATGATCTGGAAATGAAGTTCAAAATAACATCGTTATATTATACGTGATTATGACTCTTGAGCAGCTAAGATAATTTTAATGCTGATAACATATTTCTTGAGTTTTTCATCTAGTATATTCTACCCCGTAAAATTTTGGTGAAAAATACAAAATCTTTGAGTATATACATTAAACTACAATTTTCTCACTAAGGGTAGAAACAAAGTATAAATCACTTAAAAGCACCAAAACACAATTATTTTATAAGTATCTTTATCACATTCTTTTTTATTATATTTTTTGAGACAGGGTCGCATTCCCATTGCCCAGGCTGGAGTTCAACGGCACAATCACAGCTCAATGCACCTTCGACTTCCCAGGCTCAGGTGATTCTCCCACCTCAGCCTTCTGAGAGGCTGGGATTACAGGTGCACACCATCATGCCTGGCTAATTTTTGTATTTTTTTGTAGAGATGGGGTTTTGCCATGTTGCCCAGGCTGGTCTCAAACTCTTGGGCTCAAGAGATTCACCCACTTCAGCCTCCCAAAGTGCTGGGATTACAGGTGTGAGCCACCGCACCGGGCCCCTTTCCCCTTTATCTCATTCTTATCTTAATTCTGATTAGACTCGCTCCATAATCAGAAGTACAGTTTATTAAACAAGCGAACAATACAAACCTCAATCCCATTAATAAAGCTAACACTAGGAGTCGATTACTTCTGAGGGATGAAAAGTTAAATTATTACATCAATTTCTGCTTACCAATTTAAGACCAAAAAAAAAGGAATTAATGGAAATAAATAGAAAAAAAGATACTGCAATTATTTTAAAGTAAACTTTACAGATAAATTAGGAATAAAAAGCCATAGGCACTGTCACTGCATAAACAGGGATGCTTACTTTAAAAAGCATCACAGCACTGCCCACCCACTTTGAGAAACATCCCCCTCTCCTTCTCTATCTGGTGTGGAAAAACCTGTAGAAAAAAATCATTTGTTTCAGAACATCTATCACTTTGTTGCATTCTTATAGGCAGAAATCCTAATGTCACCATGCATCACAAACGCATTCCATTAGTCATAAGCAGGAACAGTAAAAAATCCATCATAAATACTAGAAAAACATTTTAGAAGTACACATTCTATTACCTAGGCATGAGATCAGATATTATAAAGTTCCCATGTGGCTGATCCACAAAGAGAGCGGTTAAGTAAAAGGGGAGGGGAGAACCAATCTCTGGCACCAGATTGGTAATAATAATTTAAACAAAAGATTGCATTAGAACCACCACAAGTCAAATGTAACAATTGTCAGAGATCCAAAAGAACAGTTTCTAGATGGCAATATAATAATCCTTTGAGATTAGTGAAGTCTTTATTGAGTATGCTTTTTTGAGACTAAAATGAAAATTCATTTGCAATTTTCCTTTAAAACTAACTTTGTTACAATCTTAATTAATTGGCATACTGAAGTCTACCATGTTTCCAAAAGTAACAATAACATTAAGAATGCCTTAAAGTTGGGAGGCGGAGGTGGGCAGATCATGAGGTCAGGAAATCAAGACCATCCTAGCCAACACGGTGAAACCCTGTCTCTACTAAAAATACAAAAATTAGCTGGGCATAATGGCACACACCTGTAGTCTCAGCTACTCGGGAGAATCACTTGAACCGGAGAGTTGGAGGTTGCAGTGAGCCGAAACAGCGCCACTGCATTCCAGCCTGGTGACAGAGCGAGACTCTGTCTCAAAAAAAAAAAAAAAAAGAATGCCTTACAGGTACTTTTCCATAAACTATTTCAATTATGAAATAATACCTACGTAGTTCATTTTCCAAAGGTGTTCAGCATATCTGTAATAATAAAAGTAACTTTATTATCAGCTAAACACCATGGTAAATACTCATATGTAATCCCTCCCAAAAATCCAACTTAAGAAGTATTACTGTCCCCTTTTAAACACAACAAAATTGAGGGTAGTAAGCAGCAAAGTAGATTCAAATCCAGTGTAAACTCTGTGATAAACAGCCTTTACACACAGATTATTCCATCTGAAACTGGCCATTTTGTCCAAGTACAGAAATCTGTGACTGCACAATTAATGTTTCCTTGTTTAAATTTAGTAAAATAATATTAAGCTTACCCCATACTGTACACAACTGGGAAGACCATGAAAAAAGAGATGATAATATATTAAGGACAAACACCACACAAACGGCCAATTATGAATCACATACAGTTGTGCTTATGAGACATGATGCTTATGTCTCTAGTATCTACTACTAACTTAATGTCAAGCTTAGTAAACACTCAATAAATATTTGTTGAATGAATGACTATAATACAGATATTTCCATGACTTCCTTTATGGCCCCAGAAACTAATGTGCCAGATTATTTTATTTATTTTATTTTATTTTGTTTTATTTTATTTTACTTTATTTGAGATGGAGTCTCTGTCGCCCAGGCTGGAGTGCAGTGGCACAATCTCAACTCACTGCAATCTCTGCCGTCTGGGTTCAAGCAATTCTCCTGCCTCAGCCTCCTGAGTAGCTGGGATTACAGGCGCCTGCTGCCGTGCCTGGCTAATTTTTGTAGTTTTGGTAGAGACAGGGTTTCACCATCTTGGCCAGGCTGGTCTTGAACTCCTGACCCTGTGATTCACCTGACTCAGCCTTTCAAAGTGCTGGGATTACAGGCATGGGCCACTGCACCCAGCCTTCATCTGTAATTTTAAAAAGCAAGTCTACATAGCATGTACCTGGTCTGCTGCTGTTGTAACAGCCACTCCCATAATTAAAAACCTTCATTCTGTTGTGCTTAGACCACAACTCTAAATAATACACAGTAACTAAAAATACTCTTGTCTCTAAAGAGCCAACCTAGAGATCACTTTGCCATCTACATTTTAGAGACTATTTTTTGAAGGCAGGTAGTGTATTTACCTAAATGAGCCCTTTTCCAACTTGCAGGGCTAAAAGTCAATTCTTTCCCTTCATAATTCCTCCTAAATCAAACCACCACATGGAAATAACCACTTCCAGAGGGCAAAAATTATATATGGAACAAGTAATGAAAGAAAAGGAAGAACAAGAAAATAAAAATATATGAGATTTTAAGCACACTTCCTGAAGGAAATATCAGGCTGGCAAACCTGGACTGTTTGTTTCCTAGGTTACTACCTCTCCCGACATTACCTTCCAGCCCTAGCACTGAAGTACTCACTGAAGGATCTGAAATTTTATAATGAAAAACTAAAGAATCATCAATTTGTTAGTAACTCACAAATTCCTATATAGGAATTTAGATTAAGAACAAAAAAATAAAGGAGAAGGGATGACAGTTGATACCCCAGACAGTTCTATTCAAGTTTATGAATGATTTACTCTTAAGGGTGGCAGGACTTAATGCAAATGAACATAGAGGAAACTGTCAGCTCCATTGTGGTTCGACCAATAGAAGCACAGCTCCATCTTGGCTGTGCACTAGACTGCATTACAAACAGACGATACCATCGCCTCAACAGCATCCTCTCAGACAAGAGGTAGGTTTATATGATCTTTTTTATTTAGTGGTACATGTCCTTATGATGCAATAGGAAAATATTTTACCCTGAAAAATCAACCAGAAAGCTTTGCTACTACTAAATATCAAGAAAAAGCAATGTATTCGTTTCACTGCTTGGTAGGATTTTATTATGAAAATATGAAGACTGCCTTGTGCTATTTGATAAGCACCCTTACCATCTGTGCCTTAATGGAAAATTCATTACATTTTACATGAACCTGATTTATACCCAGACCTTACAGTAAACCACAGCTTTTTATTTTAACTGGTTACTTGCTAATTTCATTTTCTCTGAGAGATTTCATTTCTGCAGTTTGGTCTGTCTTAACAAAGGATTTTTCTTAAAGAAAAACCTAGACCAAAAGCGAATCCCAGACTAAAGCTTTCTGATTCTATGTGCAAATGATATTGGCTGCTAAAAAACAGTTACTTATGAGAAACTTTGTTACATTTTTTAGAATATGAGAATATACTCCAAAATTATTTTTATTTTACTTTGAACGTAGATGCAGAGAATGCTAAGAAATTATCACAATTTTTATATAAAAGACCATAAAAGGTATCGCAAAATGGGCTGCATTATACTACAACCAAACAGATAATTTATACAGCTTCAGACTTCCTTAACATTTTAATTAAAATAATTCTTCACTGTGAAATTTACCTCTCATAATATACAAGTCATGCTATTAAACAAAAACCTTCTTAAATAGCCTTTCATTTTTGATATCAATTTATCACACCATTTAAATATAATGTTGCAGTCATTCTTAAACTGATCTTCAAAATAAATACAAAGTAAGCCCTTTTGATAAGCTGCATTTTAAAACAAAAATATGTCTTAAGAAGAACCGGTTAAGAAAGGAGAGTAAGTACCTTTCTAGGTAACAAGATTATCTTCGTGGCTCAGAGCAATCGTTCATGTCTATTAAAAATTAGTATCAACTGCTGACCAAATTTCTAATTTTATACTATTCAAGCATTAAATTTAGTTATTTACTAGATGTTAGAACTCCAGGACACATACTATATCTGACCTAAAGAGCCAACTTCTGCCCTTTTACCTTGCCAGTAAGTTTATTTAATCTTTAAAGGGTTTGGTTTTTTTTCTTCATAATTTCTATTACTTTTCTTAGTCGGCATTCAGCTAGCCTGAGCAAAGTATCCCCTGCAAAATCCAGAGGTTGCTGTAACAAGATATTAGATCTGTCCACGTTCAGCACAGTGGGGTTAATTACCTAGAAACCATTTGTGCTTGCTACAGAAAGTACACAAGCACCAAAGAAAAGTCTCAGATAAAATAAAAATAACTTTGTCAAATAAAACAGTTAACTTACAACTCAAATTTCAGGTAAACTGTAAACAGAAACCCCTACCACCCACATTGTTTCAACACTCTTATCATCAGCCTACATTTTGCTATGAATATGTCTATTGTTAGCACAGATGGAGACTCATTGCT